AGCAGCACCATGAGCAAGCAAAGCGAAAGCAAGAGCAAGGAAAACCTGACGAGTAAAGGTGATAATAGCAACCATTTATTATTATCTTATTTTTTTTGTAATCAGCGATGTTTAAAACTTGTGATTGTCTGCCAGAAGGAATCATAACCGACAAGGAACCACCTCTGGATATTTATAGTCAGGAAAATTGCTTCAATCACCAACGCTCCAATCCAAGTTTTTGGTGCCGTATGATTGAACGTGTTTCATTCCTTCATTGTTCCATTTACGGCAGAACCATAAAATCTAATTTTCCATATCTAGGATATCCACATGCACGCTTGTTGTCATTCGCCTGTGACTGTGGTAGCCCATCAATTACGAGGTATTTCACAGTAGAAGGTCAACCCCCATTGTGTGCGTACTCGAATATCAACTTGAAACGAATCGATAAGATTGCAAAGTCAAAAAAGAAAAAAAGAAAAAAATAAAAAAAAACTGTGGTGTAATTGCGTCTGCTTTTTGTGTTCGTTTCTTATCTCCTAAGAGTTTTATGATTTCACGCTGTTGGAGGGAGGACGGGTCTTGTCAAAATTCGAGACGCAAATGACGTCGCCTTGGCTTCTTGGCAGGGGAACACTAGACGGGGATTTGGGTTCAATGCAATCAGGGTTTAATGCTAGATCTTCAGCAACACCAATATCTAAAGGAAGCATCCAAAGTATAAGCACCGGTTACGAGTAATACTGAACTCGACCGATTTGCTCATTCCAGTTTATCCACTACGTCATTGTTCTTTGATAATTATTTACAAACGTGAGTCTGTNTGTTGTTGTTGTTGTTGTTGTTGTTGTGTGGTGAGGCATCAAAAACGTTGTCCATTGGAACTTGAAATATACGAGAATTGGTCAACAATAGCGTACGTGGGTGTCTACGTAAATCAGCTTTGTTGAGGTGGAATTTTGTGATATTCCGGAACTTTAATTTTCATGGACTATACGATGGAACCATTTCCGTTTTAGACAACGTGGTGCCAACGTGGTGCCAACGTGGTGCAACGAAGGTGTAAATTTTCTTCTATAGTTACGCGCCCACAATTGAAATACCGCATCATGGTTGCCTGTTGTCATTCTCATGAAGTCTCATGTGGACTTCGATTTGAATTTACGAACATTTGGGTATAGAGCAATGGTTGGATGGTATTTTGTGCTATTTGTGCAACTTCAGCTGTTTCACTTGTAATAGTGTGTGTCTCCTGTAATTTTAGAAGTTTTGGTGCCACGGCTCATGTGGAAGGAGGAGTTTTAGTTGTTTTTTTTTTTTGACGTCATTGTGTATCAAATATGTGGGTCTAGCCTCCTGTAGAAATGTTGAGTATGCGAGCCACATTTCGACGTCACTTCAAAATTGAGATTATTTTCGTAATTGTTGTAGAATCTTAACATTGTCCTCCATATTGTTTGAGTCAATGCAGTCACTACGCACCTATTATCGAATGAAATTTTTGTAGTTGAAAAAGTCTTTCATGTACCAAAACAAGATTACTACAACTGCAGCAATGCAATATGCAATAAACGCAATTACAATAACCGCGGAAGGAATACACCACCATCTTTTACTAATTACAAAACAGTTTTGTGTTGTAATTACACCCACTCATGGCGCTTAAATCTCCTTACACGCATCAATGTACACTTCTGCGCTTTCATAGTTGAAATATGCGCCCACCTACTTGACAGTTGCTTACACCGTTGGCGGGAAAAGCGCTAAAAAATTGAAAATGGATCTCTGTTTGTGTTAGGTATAGCTTCTATTTTGAAAATTAATCTTTCGAAAATTCTTCAATACTGCTACACATACAAAACCAAGCCATCCTTTCGTACGGCATCAAAAAAGAGATTGGTTTTGCTCTGCTCGGATACTCCAAAGCTTACGCAAAAATGAATTATCCCTCTGATGTCATAACGAAGATAAAGCCGTCGATCATGTCTTATTGCCCCATTTTCAAGTCTCATTGTGACTGTGACGTCGATTCTGGTCCTATTGGCTGGTTGCAGTTCTATTTTTTGCTAATGTATTTTACGGGCCGTGTAATTTAAGGAGATGTTTGAAAATAGGGGTGACTCTGTGGACTTTTGTTGGGAGTTACAAAGAGCAGAGTCAAATAGTTACTCAATGTTCACACTTACACTCACTCACTCACTCACACCTGTATTTTCTTGAAGAACGCCAGGGCTCATAATCATCAACAAAGAATACAATTGGACTTTGGTGTTTCAAAAGCTCACCTTAAGAGTTACGGCATTCTCACAACGCAAACAAAGGAAAAGTGGTCACCATCAACACCATTTCTTTGAAAAAAGCACCAATCGTTTTCTGCAGTCACTGGTTTAAATCTACAAAAAAAGGCATTGCGGAATCTATACCCACATAGAACACAGAACGTTACTTCGTGATGCAAAATGTCCAGAAGTACCTACCTTTCGTGAAACTAAGCTACCTCTTTTGTTTCAAAATTTTGACAACTTCAAGATGGTTATGAGACCAAAATGGAGTAGCAACTATACCAAATACACACATGCAACCACGTTTTCTGTACCTGTATTGCAATTGCGCCGGAAGTACGTCCCCCATTCTCATAACCATATGATGCCATCAAATTTTTGTCCAATGTGCATAACTCCAGCCAATCAGTTGAAGTCCCTCCACCTCAACACAGATGAAAGAGTCAAACTAGAGGGAGAGAGAACAATGAGCACCGATGCTACAGTTGACCCACGTTTGGGTTCATTCCTGACCACCCAGAAAACTATAAATATGGCAGGAATTCCCATGATGTTTTGTTGACTCCATTTCCATCACCAACCAATCAACCCTCATTCTGAAAGGATGACTACAATTGCTACATTCACTAGAAACGTTTTGCTTGCCCTTGCCTTTGCCTTGGTTGCTGCTCAAGGTGCTGCTATTCCTGAAGCCAACAAAAGAGACGACAGTCCTGGATTCGTTGCTTTGGATTTTGAAGTTACTAGAAAACCACTTGACTTGAACGCAACTTCTAATGCCATTTCCAAGAGAGCATACCCATCATCTCCATTGTACTTTGAAGGTCCATCCTATGGTATTCGTGTGGCGGTTGGTTCCAACAAACAACAACAACAAGTGGTTCTTGACACTGGTTCAAGTGATTTTTGGGTCGTTGATCAATCGGCAACTTGTCAAGGAACTCAAGATTGTAAACACTACGGTACCTTCAATCCTAGTGGCTCAAGCTCATTCCAATCTTTAGGGACAAGCTTCCAAATAGGTTACGGAGATAAAAGCTCTTCAAGAGGTACCTGGGCAAAGGACACTGTTTCTTTCGGTGGTATTTCAATCACAAACCAACAGTTTGCTGATGTTACCAGTACTTCAGTCTCCCAAGGAATCTTGGGTGTTTCGCGTGTTCGTGGTGAAAGTGCTAATCCAGAATATGACAATGTTCCTGTTACTTTAAAGAAGCAAGGAAAGATCAAAACCAACGCGTACTCGTTGTATTTGAACTCCCCAAGTGCAACCTCTGGAACTATCATTTTTGGTGGAGTTGACAATGCCAAGTACTCTGGTAAACTCGTTGAAGAGCCATTGACCGACAGTCAATACTTGGCTATCAACTTGCAGTCCCTCAACTACAATGGTGACGCAGAGTCTGGAGGTTTCAGTGCTGTCTTGGATTCAGGAACCACCATCACTTTCTTGCCCGATGCACTCGTTTCAGATCTTGCTAACAAGGTAGGTGCTCAGTTGGAGCAAGTTGGTTTGGACAATGAACTTTACTTTATTGATTGCAACTCAAACCAAGGTACAGCTTCATTCACTTTTGACAATGGTGCTCAAATCAGCGTTCCATTGTCAGAGTTTATCCTTCAAAATTCAGACGGAAGCTGTATTTGGGGATTGCAGAGCGCTGATAGTCACAATGTCCCGCCAATCTTGGGTGACAATTTCTTGAGACATGCTTATGTTGTTTACAACTTGGACAAGGAAACCATTTCACTTGCTCAAGTAAAATACACTTCTGCTTCAAGCATTTCCGCAATCTAAGTTCGAGGACACTTTATTTTGGTGAGTTTTTTCCCTTTACAGACGTTATAGTTCTAATAAATTGCTTTCAAAAAGCATTGTAGATGCTCCTTGAGGTTTAGCGGAGTGTGTGTGCCACCTTCATGCGTGAAGAGTTGACAAAAGTTGATTGGCACGCGTTATTGTTGCTCTCATTGAATGAGCATGTGGTAATAAGTGACATATATAATCTTCTACACATTCTACTGTACAGCCCACTACACAACAGCTGGATTTACCTCACACAATCTGATTATGACCATTATTTAATCACAACTTTTCGTTTCTCAAAATTGATCCTTCTTGATACATTCTGTCCAAGTTTTCCTGAAAATACTTTGTGCAAAGAGGCCGTCTAATCTTCTGAGTCGGTGTAATAACCCCCCTCTCAACCGTTAACGGATCAAAGTCTACTTCAACGTTGTGTATCCTTTCAAATCCCTGTAATTGATCCTTAACTGCATTATTGAGGTCCATAAGGAATATTTTCTTGTTCGATGGGTCATTCAAAAAGCGGAGGATATCTTCCCTGACACCGATTTCATTGTGAAACCTGCTTCTTAAATAATCTGCAATTGATGCAGGATCCAAGCCAACAATACCAATGAGGTACGATTCAAGTGACGTTCCGTAAACAAAAATCTGTTGGATATGCGGACATGACGATAAGTAAACAAGTTCAATTTTTTCAGGAGTGACAAACTCGCCCTGTGCCAACTTGAAGAAATTCTTGACCCTGTCAACAACATACATTTGATTGCCGCGGTTGGTATCAATACGTGCAACATCCCCACTGCAGAACCATCCATCTTTGTCGAATGATTCAGCAGTTGCCTCGGGGTTCTTGTAATACTCTTTGAATATTTGCGGTCCTCGCAACAATAACTCGCCTCTTGGTCCTTCTGCATCTTTGGAAGTGTAGTTCATTTCCGGGATGTCTCGTAGCCTGCATTCAGCTGTCACTCCAATTGCACCAATCGAACCTGGGTCGTGGTCAAATTGTTTACTACACAAAAATCCCGCAAAAGACTCCGTCGACCCATAACCATTAGATACTCCAACATTCAACGCGGCTTTTATGAACCTAATTGTCTCCGGACTACTGGGTGAAGAGCCAGTTGCTATTGTTTTAACGCTGGCAAGTCCCAATCTTTTTTTAAAAGTCTCAAGCAAGGTATCATAAACCAAATGAGGGGGGTTGGCATCTTCATCCAGAGCTTGTGCTTGAAGTCTCAATTTCTCAGTGATGGCTTTGGTATATATGTACCTGGTCCATAGGTTTTCACTGTGGATTGTTTGCGATTTGATTGTTGCTTCCAACTTTGACAACACTCTTGGTACAGTTGCAAGGTTGGTGGGTTGTAATTCTCTGACGTCATCAAGTAAGGCCATTGTTGACTTGCTCAGAGGGAATCCAATTTCTGCACCAACACAAACACCGTAGACAAGATTGGCTCTCTCTAGAATATGTGCAGCAGGCAAGTACGAGTACAATCTCGTGGTCCCAGTTTTGAAACCTCTCCCATATTTGAAAACCAATCCTGCAATCGCATTTTCATGGGTCAATACAACTCCTTTCGGTACAGATCCAGTAGTACCGGACGTAAAACAAATTGTGAATTTGGTGTCAGGAGTTGGTGGTATAGGAGTTAGTTGGTTTGTTTCCCCGAGCTTCTCAACATATTCGTAGTCAAACAAGGCGATTTGGTTTGCTGCAGCAAAACGTTTCAATTGAGAACCTTCAGGTCCTTCCAACTTATCCATAGATACAACAGCAATCAACTTGTCCATCCTGTCACTTTCCTTCTTCAACTCTATCAACTTGGAAATTTTCTCCTTGGAGCACAAGACGATGGGTGATTCTGTCAATTCTAGAATATATTTGCTGGTATTTGGACCCAATGTGTCATATAAGGCTGTGTTGGTGATGGAGTAAGTGAAGCTAGCAATGTCGGCTAATACCCATTCTGGACGATTTGAACTAAATATGGTCAAGATAAAGGAGTCCTTCTTTCTAGTTGGGTCATAGTTCAAATTCCGGTGCACTTCACTCTTGGTTCTAAATGGGTTATTCTCCAAAATAAAAAATATACCTGAGCCCAAGTTCCTACTTCGTTGTCTAATAGTGCGGTAGTCTTGCCATTGATACTTTCCATACGAACCATCTGACAACTTCTCTCGAACTCCAAGCGCATTTCGCTCAGCAGTAAATTTATAACCAAATTCAAACAATGTATACAATGTGTCTAAGGAGTGATGCAACCTGGATATTAAATTGTGTGTGGAGTATGCATTTCGGTAAATAGGGGAATACCCCTCTTCTTCCGTACCTGCTATTGGTAAAGCGTTGGCAATCAACCGTGCCTTGAATGGCACGTTCTCCTTGAGTGTTGCATATATATGCTCAGGTGACTCATGGACCAAAGACATTTAGTTTGATTGGGCGTAAGTTGTAAAGACAAAGATATTGTAAAGACGCATTTGCAATCAGTTTACGAGCGGGAGGAATCTTTATCCATTTTATACCATTGATCATAGCCCCTCCTTAGTATAAACCCCCCCCCCTTCCTCTAGAAGTCAATAAAAATTTTACCCCTAACAACATGAATTTAGAAATCAAGGAAGTCGTGCATTAACAACTTCTCAATTTCATTACATCACACACCTTTAATCCGCAGTTTGCTATACATAGAATTCGTATCAGTAAAATTTGTGTTACGCTGCTTTGTGTCAAGTTCCTCTCCTCTCTCAATGATTTATTCTTGCGGGGAAGCTGAACAAAACCTCGTAAATCACAAGGGAGCTACACCACGGTAAAGACGCACGTAGAGACATCCCGTAAACCAAGATCACACTCCTGGTTACCATCCCAGATATACATCAAATGTCCCCGCCAATGCCATCTTTGCTGCTATAGAATGCAAGCTCGAATATTATGCGCAAGAAATGTGTAACTCCGATTTTTGGTTATCGCCGATTATTTTGATGTTCCGGTCACAAAGCTGAAAACTCCGCTAGCTCGAATTGGCTTTTTATAAACCTTAAGCGTACTTACCCCACTGATCTCCAAGGCTCCATTCCCCCCTTTACGCGTCTTCAACCTCGTCCAAAAAATACTTTCCGAAATGTGTTTGTGTATTCTGAAAATGTATGAAATCTATAACTTTTCACTTCTCAAAAGTGAGCCTTCTCTATACATTTTATTCAAATTGTCTTGAAAGTATTTGGTGCAAATGGGTCTTCTTATCTTTTGTGTTGGTGTGACAACTTCTCTTTCAATTGTTAAGGGGTTGAAATAAATCTCCACATTGTGCAATCTCTCAAACCCTTGCAATTGATCCTTGACGGCAGCATTGAGATCCAAAAGGAATTCCTTCTTGTTCCTGGGATCATTTAGGAAACGAAGGATGTCATTAGGATCATTGATTTCATCGTTGAATTTGGCCTTTATGTATCCTCCAACGGTTGTTGGATCCAACCCGATAATTCCAACAAGATAGGATTCAAGTGAGTTTCCGTGAACAAAAATCTGTTGAATATGTGGGTTAGCTGCCAAATAAGTGTTTTCAATCTTTTCCGGAGTAACGAACTCCCCCTGTGCCAACTTGAAGAAATTCTTTACCCGATCAAATACGTAAACTTGATTGTTATTTGCAGTGTCAATTCTTGCAACATCTCCAGTGCAAAACCACCCATCTTTGTCGAATGCTTCTGCAGTTGCTTCAGGGTTCTTGTAATATTCCTTAAATATTTGCGGTCCTCTCAATAACAACTCTCCCCGGGGTCCTTCTGCATCTTTCGAAGTGTAGTTCATTTCCGGAATGTCCTTTAATCTGCACTCAGCAGTAACTCCAATGGCACCAATGGATCCAGGATTATGGTCAAATTGTTTACTACTAATGAATCCAGCAAACGACTCTGTAGATCCATAACCATTGCTAATACCCACATTCAATGCTGCTTTCAAAAACTTGATTGTCTCAGGACTGACCGGCGAAGAACCGGTGGACATGACTTTGACACTACCCAACCCCATCTTCTTTCTCAACGCATTGAGTAACACGTCATAAAACAAATGGCTAGAGTTGGTATCGTCTTCATTTGCCTGCGCTTGAAGTCTCATCTTCTCGGTGATGGCTTTGGTATAAAGATATTTCACCAACGGCTTTTCATTGTTGTTGATAGTGTTTGCTTTGATTCCAGCCTCAAGTTTAGATAAAATCCTTGGCACAGTAGCAAGTCCAGTTGGTTGCAACTCTTTCACATCATCAAGCATTGTCAATGGTGATTTTCCCTGCGGGAACCCAATTTCTGCTCCAACACTTAATGCATATTGAATATTGGACCGTTCGTATATGTGCGCCATTGGCAAAAACGAATACAACCTAACAGATCCAGGATCAAACCCTCTACCATACCTGAAAACCAACCCGGCAACAGCGTTTTCATGAGTCAACACAACTCCCTTTGGGTTAGCTCCAGTGGTTCCCGAAGTGAATGAAATTGTAAACTTAGTATCTGGGGTTGGTGGTATTGGAGCCAATGGATTTGCTTCTCCAAGTTTTTCAACATGCTCAAAATCAAACAATGCAATTTGGTTGGCAGCAGCAAGATTTTTCAATCTAGCATCGTCAGTGCCATCCAACTTATCCATAGATACAATGACAATCAAGTTCACCATCTTGTCACTCTGTTTCTTCAAATCAATCAATTTTGTAATATTTTCCCTTGAGCATAAAACAATAGGCGACTCTGTCAACTCTAAAATATATCTACTAGTGTTTGGGCCTAAAGTGTCGTACAATGCAGTATTCGTAATAGAATAAGCAATTGAGGTCAAATCTGCCAACGCCCACTCTGGTCTGTTGTGACTAAAGATCGTCAATATGAATGAATCTCCTTTTCTATTTGGGTCGTAGTTTAAGTTTTGGTGAATGTCACTTTTGGTCCGAAATGGATTATTCTCCAACACAAAGAATATACCTGAGCCCAAGTTGTTTCTTCTCTGTTTTATAGTGCGGTAGTCTTGCCATTGATATTTACCAAATGACCCGTCAGGCAACTTTTCTCTAACTCCAAATGCCTTTTGGTTTTCGCTAAACTTGTAACCAAACTCAAACAATGTGTACAATGTGTCCAAGGAAGGATGTAATTTGGTGATTAATTGGTCAGGACTGTATGCGTTACGGTAAACTGGTGAGTGTCCCTTTTCTTCAGAACCTGGAACTGCTACTGCCTTGTCAACTAATCTTGATTCAAGCGGTAACTTTTCCTTGAGCATCTCAAAGATGCGCTCAGGTGTTTCTTGAATCAACGACATGATCTTGTGTGATTAGTTGAATGAGTTCAAAAGAACCTTTACGGGATGAAAGTGTAGAAACATTGATAATGAGTCAACGTGGTGGGTTTCGTTCGTTTTATAGTCCCACATAACTAGTCCCCACCATTCAATAACCCCTCATTTTTTTCTCCCTCTTTTTTTGTTTTTTTTGTTTTTTTTGTTTTTGAAAGTTTAAAGTTGAGACTGGAAAAGGCTCAAACGTTGAGCATATGGTTGTTACTCTAGAGTGAATACTACTCGATCAAATGCAGTACGTGATAAACCAACTCTTTGGTGTGTTTGCTTGTTTGTTTTTTTTTTCACAAGATGATGGTTATTCTTCGTTGATTATGTAGAGACTACTCTTTAAACCACAGTTTATCTCCACTTAACAAACGAGTGTGAATTATGTGTGTCTATTCCCGTTTTTGTGTTTGTTTTCACCTCTCAAAATTATTGCGGGGTTTCAATTGAGTTTCGGACTTAAGTTATTGATCTTGACTCGCCATCTCCACTAGGTATCAAGCGATGTGACTAGAGGGTATCTCTAACTAGGCAGAAACTCTTGTGATCAGATTAGGTAGTTACTGGAGTGAGCAGTGATCATATCGCTAAATTGATTAAAAGTGTGCAAAACATTACACATCTTTGAATTGGTCCCAGCAGAAGCTTAACTCCGGTTTCTAGCACAAACTAAAGATAAAAATTAGTGTGAGCAGATCAAACTTTCCTACTCTATACATATATAAGCTTCCTACAATCTTACGATACTCGGCTACTTCAACAGTGTACAAAGCTGTGCCGGTATTTTGTTGGTTCCTCCAAACTCAATCGTTGTTTAGTTTAGACGAGAGGGGTAGTTCGTAATATACAGGTATTTTTTAGGACCACTATTGAGTGCCAAAAGAGATCAGAGAGCTCCCTTCTATATCACACATTGCAATTTGCACACTCAAAACATCTACTTCGGTTAAATTCGCTAAATTATATATAAATTACAACTTATCCTTTCTAATGAGCGAGCCTTCCTCGTACAACTTGTCCAAAGTCTGCTTGAAATATTTGGTACAAACTGGTCTCTTGATCT